GGTCGGTGTTTTGGCCGTCGTTAAAGGGAGAAGGAAACGATTCGGGAGCTGTCCGCCCGTCCGTCTGTCCGTCTGTCCGTCCATCTCTGTGGCTGGCTGTCGGTCCAGCTGGATGTCCGGCTGTTCGCCCGTCTGTCAGGCTGGGAGTCTGCCTAGCTGTCTGTCTGTCCATCCTCCTGCTCGTCCAGCTGGCTGTTCGTCCACCTGCCTGCCCATCCACCTGTCTGTCTGTCCATCTCCCTGCCCATCCACCTGTCTGTCTGTCCATCTGCCTGCCCATCCAGCCATCCGTCTGTCCATCCGTCTATCTACTCACCAAGCTGTCCACCCAGCCGTCTGTCTGTCTGTCTATCTGCTCACGCAGCCGTAAGTCTGCCTGGACATCTGTCCAGCCGTTTCCATCCATCTGTCTTTCCATCTGTCTGTCTTTCTCCCTGTCCATCTGTCTACCCGGCAGCAAGTCTAACTGTCCACCTGTCTGTCCACCCATCTGCCTACCTGTCCCCATATCATCTCTGTCCGTCCGTCCGTCAGTCTGTCCACATACCCATCCGTCCATCCATCCATCCATCCATCCATCCGTCCGTCCGTCCGTCCGTCCCTCTGTCCACCCACACATCCCTCTGTCCATCCGTCTCCCTTTCTGTCCATCCATCTCCTTCTCCATCCGTCCATCCACACATCTGTCTGTCTGTCCATCTGTCAGTCTGTCCACACAGCTGTCAGTCCATTCACCTTCCCCATCCATCCATCCATCCATCCACCCACCGATGGTCGGTCTGTCTGTCGGTCCGTCCATGCATCCATCTGTCTGTCTGTCCATCCTATTCTCTCTACATCCATCCATCCATCCATCCATCCCGACACACCAAAGTTGACCTCACACCCCCTCAGATTTGGGGTCCACCCCATGGATCCCACCAAGGATTTTGGGGTCCCCTCCAATTTGGGGTCCACCTTATGGATCCCATATAGGGTCCTGGGGGTCCCTTCCAATTTGGGGTCCACCTCATGGATCCCATATGGGGTTTTGGGGTCATCCCCTCCAATTTGGGGTCCACCTCAAGGATTTTGGGGGGTCCCCTCCAATTTGGGGTCCACCTCATGGATCCCATCAAGGATTTTGGGGTCATCCCACTATTTTGGGGTCCACCTCATGGATCCCATTAGGGATTTTGGGGGGGACCCTCCAATTTGGGGTCCACCTTATGGATCCCATATGGGGTCCTGGGGTCCCTTCCAATTTGGGGTCCACCTCATGGATCCCACCAAGGATTTTGGGGTCCCCTCCAATTTGGGGTCCACCTCATGGATCCCATATGGGGTTTTGGGGTTCCTACCAATTTGGGGTACCCCTTATGGATCCCATCAGGAGTTTTGGGGTCATCCCACCAGTTTGGGATCCGCCTCATGGATCCCATATAGGGTCCTGGGGGTCCCTTCCAATTTGGGGTCTACCTCACGGATCACATCAAGGATTTTGGGATCATCCCACCATTTTGGGGTCCACCTCTTGGATCCCATATGGGATTTTGGGGTCATCCCACCATTTTGGGGACCACCTCATTCATCCCATCAGGGGTTTTGGGGGTCCTCTCCAATTTGGGGTCCACCTCATGGATCCCATATGGTGTCCTGGGAGTCCCCTCCAATTTGGGGTCCACATCATGGATCCCATCAGGGTTTTGGGGGTCCCCTCCAATTTGGGGCCCACCTCATGGATCCCATATGGGGTTTTGGGGTTCCTACCAATTTGGGGTACCCCTTATGGATCCCACCAGGAGTTTTGGGGTCATCCCACCAGTTTGGGGTCTGCCTCATGGATCCCATATAGGGTCCTGGGGGTCCCTTCCTATTTGGGGTCTACCTCATGGATCCCATATGGGGTTTTGGGGTCATCCCACCATTTTGGGGTCCACCTCATGCATCCCATCGGGGTTTTGGGGGTCCCCTCCAATTTGGGGCCCACCTCATGGATCCCATATGGGGTTTTGGGGTTCCTACCAATTTGGGGTACTCCTTATGGATCCCATTAGGGATTTTGGGGTCTCCTCCAATTTGGGGTCCACCTCATGGATCTCATCAGAGATTTTGGAATCATCCCACCATTTTGGGGTCCACCCCATGGATCCCATCGGGGTTTTGGGGTTCCCACCAATTTGGGGTCCACCCCATAGATCCCACCAGGGGTTTTGGGGTCATCCCCCCCCAACCCGGATGCGGTGTCGTAGAGAATCAGAGCCTCCACACCGCAATGCAGGTGAAGGAACCTCCCTGAGGACTGCGGGCCACCAGCAGCTGGCGGAGCAATTAGCGCCCTGATGAGTAATTAAGGGCGGGGAGGCCCGGGAGCGGAGCCCTGATGAAAGGAAATTTGGGGGATGAATCACATCGCGGAGATGCTGATCTGGCGGAGGAAGGCAGCGCCGTGTTGGCTTTGGTCCTAAACCTGGAGTTGAACCCGGAGCTCCCGGATGGAGTGAGGTTCCCCAAAAACCCCACGGAGATCTGCTCAGCTCTGATCCTTCCTGGGATCCTTCTCCTGGGGGTGGATCTCGTCCTGTGGAGGTCTTCAGGTCCGAGGGGATCCCATGCCATGGGGGTCTGGTCTACCACGATCCCATCCGTGGGGGTCTGATCTACTGAGATCCCATCCCATGGAGATCTGGTCTACTGAGATCCCATCCGTGGGGGGTCTGATCTACTGAGATCCCATCCATGGGGGTCTGATCTACTGAGATCCCATGCCATGGAGATCTGGTCTACCATGATCCTATCCGTGGGGGTCTGATCTACTGAGATCCCATCTCATGTTGATCTGATCTCAAAGTCCCATCCGTGGGGGTCTGATCTGCTGAGATCCCATCCCATGGAGATCTGGTCTACCATGGAGATCTCGTCTACCACGATCCCACCCGTGGGGGTCTGATCTGCTGAGATTCCATCCCATGTTGATCTGATCTCAAAGTTGCATCCAGGGGGGTCTGATCGACCGAGATCCCATCCCATGGAGATCTGGTCTAACACGATCCCATCCGTGGGGGTCTGAGCTACTGAGATCCCATGTCATGGGGATCTGTTCTACCACGATCCCATCCATGGGGGTCTGATCTGCTGAGATTCCATCCCATGTTGATCTGATCTCAAAGTTCCATCCGTGGGGATCTGATCTACTGAGATTCCATCTCATGGAGATCTGATCTACCAAGATTCTATCTCATGGAGGTCTGGTCTACCACGATCCCATCCGTGGAGATGTGATCTACTGAGATCCATCCTGTTGCTCTCATTTACTGAGACCCCATCCCATGGAGATCTGGTCTACCAAGATTCCATCTCATGGAGGTCTGGTTTACCACCATCCCATCCGTGGGGGTCTGATCTACTGAGATTCCATCCCATGGAGATCTGGTCTACCAAGATTCCATCCCATGGAGATCTGATCTCAAAGTTCCATCCACGGGGGTCTGATCTATCAAGATTCCATCCCTTTGATGTCTGGTCTACCATGATCCCACCCATGGAGGTCTGATCTACAGAGATCCATCCATGGAGGTCTGATCTACAGAGATCTCATGCCATGGAGATCTGGTCTACCACGATCCCATCTGTGGAGATGTTTCCTACTGAGATCCCATCCCACGTTGATCTGATCTACTGAGATCCACTCAGGGAGGTCTGATCTACTGAGGTCCCATCCCATGGGGGTCTGATCTACTGAGATCCACCCATGGGGTTCTGATCTACCAGGATTCCACCCCACAGGGATCTGCTCTGCAGAGACCCATCCATATTGATTTGATCTACCAAAGCCCATCCCATGGTGATTTGGTCTTCAGAGATCCCATCCCATGGAGATCTGGGCTGAAGGAATCCACCCATGGAGATCTGCTCTGCAGAGATCCACCCATGGGGATCTGATCTACCAAGATCCATCCACGGGGGTCTGATCTACTGAGATCCACCTGTGGGGGTCTGATTTACTGAGATCCCATCCCATGGGGGTCTGATCTACCGAGATTCCATCCCATGGAGATCTGATCTGCAGAGATTCATCCATGGATCCAGTTGATCTACTGAGATCCCATCCCATGGAGATCTGGTCTATCAAGAATCCATCCCATGGAGATCAGTGTGGAGACACAGGGGACACGAAGGGACACGAAGGGACACGAAGGGACACGATGGGGGGATGTTGTGGGGTGAGGAACCTCATGAGGGGACATGGGGGGACACAAGAGGATTTTGGGGACTGAGGGATCGCATGAGGGGACGTGGAGACATGGGGGACACGAGGGGATGTGAGGGGACACGGGGTGACATTGTGGGGTGAGGGACCTCGTGAGTGGACATGGGGACATGGGGGACACGAGGGGACATGGGGGACATGGGGGGATGTAGGGGGTGAGAGACCTCATGAGGGGTCATAGGGACATGGGGGACATATGGGGACATGGGGGGACACAAGGGGACATTGGGGGGTGAGGGACCTCATGAGTGGACGTGGAGGGACGTGAGGGACACGAGGAGATGTTGGGGGACATGAGGACACGAGGGACACGAGGGGACATTGGGGGATGAGGGGTCTCATGAGGGGACACGGGGGACATGAGGGACCTCATGAGGGGACATGGGGGACACGAGGGGACATGAGGGGCACGAGAGGTTGCTGGTGGGTGAGGGACCTCATGAGGGTCATGGGGACACGAGGGGACACGAGGGGACCCTGGAGACATGGGGGACATTTGGGGACACGAGGGGACATTGGGGGTGAGGGACCTCGCGAGGGACGTGGGGACACGAGGGGACCATGGGGACATGGGGGACATCTGGGGACACGAGGGGCACGAGAGGTTGCTGGTAGGTGAGGGACCTCATGAGGAACATGGGGACACGAGGGGACCCTGGGGACATGGGGGACATGTGGGGACACGAGGGGACATCTGGGGACATGGGGGACATTTGGGGACACAGAACCCCCCCAGGAGACCACGCAGGACCCCCGAGATGCCCACGGGGGGGAGGTGTGGGCGCACAGGTTGAGCCACGTCCCCCCCTCGGCACTTTGGCACAGACCCCGAGCTGTGGGGTTGGGCCCGACCAGTTCTCCCAGTTCCTCCACTCCCATCTGTGGGTAATTAATGCTAATTACCTCATTATCCCTCGGGATAAGGCTGAACCGGCCCGGGCCTGCCACCCACTGCCAGCGACCCTACGGGTCCTTTCCGCCCCTCTTTTATTCCCCTCTCGCGACCCACAGCGGTGGGGAGGAGATGACACCCACCTCGGGTGTCCCCAGGGGAGTGCTGCGACCGTGGGTGGCCCCGGGGTGACACAAGGAGGGTGACAAAGCGGGTGGCCCGGAGGTGACACAAGGAGGGTGACAAAGTGGGTGGCCCCGGGGTGACACAGGGGTGGTTTGGGGACACGGCTGACGCGGGGATGGAGGAGTCGGGAGGCGGTGCTGGGGTTTGGTGGATGTGGACGCACTGCGGCGCGGTGGGGGTGGGGGGAAGGTGAGGACCTTCATGGCATGTGGGCCACGTCTCCATGGACACGGGGACCACAAATCCATGGACATGGGGACCTGATCTCCATGGACACATTGACCACAAATCCATGGACACGTTGGCCACAAATCCATGGGCATGTGGACCTGATCTCCATGGACACGGGGACCACAAATCCATGGACACGTTGGCCACAAATCCATGGGCATGTGGACCACATCTCCATGGACACGGGGACCTGATCTCCATGGACACGTTGATCAGACCTCCATGGACACGTGGACCTGATCTCTGTGGACATGTGGACCTGATTTCCACGGACACATTGACCAGACTTCCATGGACATGTAGACCTGATTTCTGTGGACACATTGACCACAAATCCATGGACACGTGGACCTGATCTCCACGGACACACTGGCCACATCTCCATGGACACGTGGACCTGATCTCCATGGACATGTGGATCAGATATCCATGGACACGTGGACCTGATCTCCATGGATACGTGGACCTGATCTCCATGGACACACTGACCACAAATCCATGGACACATTGACCACAAATCCATGGGCACGTGGGCCACATCTCCATGGACACGTGGACCTGATCTCTGTGGACACACTGACCACATCTCCATGGTCACATGTGGACCTGATCTCCATGGACATGTGGACCACAAATCCATGGACACGTGGACCTGATCTCCATGGACATGTGGATCAGATATCCATGGACAGGTGGACCTGATCTCCATGGACACATTGTCCAGACTTCCATGGACATGTAGACCTGATCTCCATGGACACGTGGACCTGATCTCTGTGGACACGTGGACCTGATCTCCATGGACACGTTGACCACATCTCCATGGTCACATTGACCACAACTCCATGGACAGGTGGGCTACATCTCCATGGACACGTGAACCTGATCTCCATGGACGGATAGAACAGTTCTCCATGGGCACGTAGACCAGACCTTCATGGACACATGGACCACATCTCCGCAGATCAGATCTCCATGGATACATTGACCAAACCTCCACAAGGAGGTTTGTGCAGGTGGACCAGACCTCCAAGGAAATGTGGACCAGATCTCCACCATCACACTGACCAGACCTCCACAGACATATGGACCAGACCTCCATGGACCTGTGGACCAGATCTCCACCAATATACTGACCAGACCTTCACGGGCACATTGACCAGACCTCCACGTCCACATGGGCAAGTGGACCAGATCTGCACCAACATACAGACCAGACCTTCAGAGACATGTGGACCAGATCTCCATGGACCTTTGGACCAGATCTCCACCAACACACTGACCAGACCTCCACAGATATATGGACCAGATCTCCATGGACCTGTGACACACTGACCAGACCTCCACAGATATATGGACCAGATCTCCATGGACCTGTGGACCAGATCTCCACCATCACAATGACCAGACCTCCACAGATATATGGACCAGACCTTCACGGGCACATTGACCAGACCTCCACGTCCACATGGGCAAGTGGACCAGATCTGCACCAACATACAGACCAGACCTTCACAGACACGTGGACCAGATCTCCACGTTCACACGGACAGGACTCCCACGGACACACAGACACGTTGAGCAGATCCCAACTTTGACCTCCAAGGAAAACCCAGAGCTGCCAGTGGTGGAGCTCGACGTGGTCGCCCCCTACGGCAGTTGGTGGCCAAGGTGGGATCTTCATCACCAAACCTTTGAGGGACACCATCCCTCCTCATGAAATATTCATCTGGAAGCCACCGCTGGCCACCACTGATCCCAGGTGGTTCTTCCTCCTCCATGGAGCTTTGGACCGACACCAAAACCTCCTTCTGAGGAGGGAACGGGGAGCGTTGCCACCTCCCACCATGAGGAAAGCATGGAGGTTCTTCCACAGCCCCCCATCCTCAAAAATGCCCCCCCAGGAACCACCCCTGGGTGGGTCAGGGCATTTGGCCCCTTCTCCTCCTCCAGAGTCATGGGGAAATTCTTCCCCTTGGGGGTGGGAAATTGTTTTCCCTGTGGGGGTGGGAAGTTCTCCCATTTTGGGCTGGGAAATCCCGAAATTGCTAATAAGTCCGCTTCAGAGAGAGGTCAAAAGGTCAACCCTATGGTGGGGTCAAGCTGGAGGGGGGACAACATAGGGTGGGGTCAACATAGAGTGGGGTCAACAGGTCAACCCTATGGTGGGATCAACCTGGAGGGGGGTCAAGAGGTCACCTCCACAACGGGGTCAAATTGGAGGAGGGTCAAGAAGTGAACCCCAAGATGGGGTCAGCCTGGAAGGGGGTCAAGAGGTCCCCTCCATGATGGGGTCAACCAGGAGGGGGGTGCAGAGGTCAACCCCACAGTGAGGTCAACATGAAGTGGGGTCAAGAGGTCTCCTCTACGGTGGGGTCAACCTGGAGTGGGGGGGGTCAACAGATGAACCCCACAGCAGAGAGGAGACCTGTCCCACAGTGGGGTCGATGACGGGCCACCAGAAGTGGGGACACTGATCTGCCCCCCACCCGTAAGGCCGCGTCCTCTCCCCCCCACTACAAAACCCCCGGAGGTGGGGGGTGATGGATGGGGAAGGGGACACTCAAAACACCTTGAATTCCCCCAAAACTGCTCTCTGTCCTCAAAAAAACCACCATTTTATTCACGGACATCTCCAAGGGGGACCCCCATGCCGACCCCTGCCCACCCCGGGGGTCTCGTGTCCCGGCACTCGGACCGGCCGATTCCAGGAGGAACCCCATCCTGGGGGCAGGGGGATGGGATGGGGGGAGTATAGGGGTTTTTTTTTTGGGGGGGGGGGCAGAGGGGAGGTTCAGTTCCTTCTCATGGTGTCATGGATCCACCGGGTGTATTTGCAGAGGTTGACGTAGACGCCGGGTTTTTGGGGGTCCCCACAGACACCCGGACCCCACGAGACGATGCCCTGCAGACGTCCGTCGCACACGAGGGGTCCCCCGGAATCGCCCTGAGGGGGGAAGAGGGGCGATGCTTTTTGGGGGATGGGAGGGTCTCACAGCCCCATAGAATCTCTCCGAATTTGGGGTCGATTTGGGCTGTGAAAGTGCCTCAAATTTGGGACCGATTCGGGTCCCCGAATTTGGGATCGCTTTTGGGGTTACAAGAAGTGGGGGAGTTTGGGTCTCACAACCTATAAAACTGCCCAAATTTGGGGTGACCTGTTGTGGGGGGTTGGGGGTCTCACAGCCCCATAGAATCTCTCCGAATTTGGGGTCGATTTCGGCTGTGAAAGTGCCTCAAATATGGGACCGATTTGGGTCCCCGAATTTGGGATCGCTTTTGGGGTTACAGGAAGTGGGGGAGTTTGGGTCTCACAACCTATAAAACTGCCCAAATTTGGGGTGACCTGTTGTGGGGGGTTGGGGGTCTCACAGCCCCGTAGAATCTCTCCGAATTTGGGGTCGATTTGGGCTGTGAAAGTGCCTCAAATATGGGACCGATTCGGGTCCCCGAATTTGGGATCGCTTTTGGGGTTACAAGAAGTGAGGGAGTTTGGGTCTCACAACCTATAAAACTGCCCAAATTTGGGGTGACCTGTTGTGGGGTGTTAGGGGTCTCACAGCCCCATAGAATCTCTCCGAATTTGGGGTCGATTTGGGCTGTGAAAGTGCCTCAAATTTGGGACCGATTCTGGTCCCCGAATTTGGGATCGCTTTTGGGGTGACTCAAAGCGGGGGAGTGTGGATCTCACAACCCATAAAACCACCTCAAATTTGGGGTGACCTGTTGTGGGGGGTTGGGGGTCTCACAGCCCCGTAGAATCTCTCTGAATTTGGGGTCGTTTGGGGCTGTGAAAGTGCCTCAAATTTGGGACCGATTCGGGTCCCCGAATTTGGGATCATTTTTGGGGTGACACGAAGTGGGGAGTCTGGGTCTCAAAACTCTGTAGAACAGCCCAAATTTGGGGTGACCTGTTGTGGGGGGTTGGGTTTCTCACAGCCCCATAGAATCTCTCCGAATTTGGGGTCATTTGGGGCCATAGAACTGCCCCAAATTTGGGATCATTTAGAAGTGAGACATTGTGGGGGGGGGGGGTCTGAGTTTCACACCCCCATAGAACTGCCCCAAATTTTGGGTTGTTTTGGGTCATAAAACCATCCCAAATTTGGGACTGTTTTGGGTCATAGAAATGCCCCGAACTTGGGCATATTTGGGGTCACAGAAGTGGCTCAAATTTGGGAATGTTTCAGGTCATAGAAATGCCCCAAATTTGGGAATGTTTTGGGTCATAGAAATACCCCAAATCTGGGAGTGTTTCGGGCCACAGAATTGCCCCAAATTTGGGACCATTTTGGGAGCAACACGATGGGATGGGGGTCCAGATCTCACACCCCCATAGAACCACCCCAAATTTGGGTCTGTTTCAGGTCACAAAAATGCCCCAAATTTGAGAATATTTTGGGTCATAGAACCCCCAAAATTTGGGAATATTTGAGGTCACAGAGCCTCTCCAAATTTGGGACTGTGTTGGGTCATGGAAATGCCCCAAATCTGGGACATTTTTGGGACAACACATAGGGAAAGGGGTCTAGATCTCACAGCCCCATAGAACCACCCCAAATTTGGGTCTGTTTCAGGTCATAGAAATGCCCCAAATTTGGAAATGTTTCGGGTCATAGAACTGCCCCAAATTTGGGAATGTTTCGGGTCATAGAACTTCCCCAAATTTGGGAATGTTTTGGGCCAAGAACTGCCTCAAATTTAGGGCCATTTTGGGGTGACACATAGGAAAAGGGTCCGGATCTCACACCCCCATAGAATCACCCAAAATTTGGGACAGTTTCAGGTCATAGAAATGCCCCAAATCTGGGAGTATTTTGGGTCACAGAAATGCCCCAAATTTGGGAATGATTCAGGCCACAGAACTGCCCCAAATTCGGGACCATTTTGCATCATG